CAAATAAAACATAAGGCTTTTCTTGCTCTCCCAAAAGTTGCATTTGTAAAACAGGGATGATAATACTAATACTTACCAAGCAGAGTTGTTTTGAGGAAGAAATGAGAAAATGGAAATACCTTATTACAGACACTGGCACTTAGTAAGGTATTCAATCAATGTTAACTGCTATTAACATTATGATCAGCTCATAAAGAAAATAAATGGAGGACCTCAAAACCCCTGACTTGGGGCATATTAAAAGAATGTTCGCTTACTTTGCAAAAGAGAAAGTTTCTATTGTTTTTTCCAAAAGATTGGAAGGGATAAAGTACTCTTCTGTGTTCTATCACGTATTATTACCTTATCTAGTATCTATGCATTTATTATCCATCATTATCTGTCTTCATCTTTTCTCTATTGTCTATTATTACCTATTGTCCTATTTATTATGCAAGAATAAATTTCTGTCCTATAACTATTTGATTACCCATGGCCAGTTAACAAGAGTCAAAGACAGTATCATCAGGATAACAAAGGAAAGATATTGAGGAGGTAGCCAGCAACTACCTATGAAACTGCCAATATTTGATGATTTTTGACCTAAGTAAGTGGCAATTTCAAGACTCAACCTAATAGACTCCGAATCCAGACCTATCCAAACTAAGAATTAAAAACCGGAGAGACAATGTATCTTCTACTGTTCTCACCTACTTCCAAAACATCTGAAACGAACAGCAGAAAACCAACAGTAGAATAGGAAACAGTGATTCACCACAGTAGTTCAAACTTTGGAAAATACAATTTAATTTAGCACAATCTCTGTTTATTGTATTTTTCATTTTCAAAAGCCATTTTTAAAATTTTGTTCACTTAGCCAACATATAGTACATCATTAGTTTTTGATGTAGTATTCAATGATTGATTAGTTGTGTGTAACACCCAAACACTCATCATAACATGTGCCATTTTTTTAAAGATTTTATTTATTTATTTGACAGACAGAGATCACAAGTAGGCAGAGAGGCAGGCAGAGAGAGGAGGAGGCAGCCTCCCCACCAAGAAGAGAGCCCGATGTGGGGCTGGATCCCAGGACCCCTGGGATCATGACCTGAGGCGAAGGCAGAGGCTTTAACCCACTGAGCCACCCAGGTGCCCCAACATGTCCCATTTAAAATATAATAAATGTCATTTTCTCAATCTAAAATATAAGTAAACATCAAATGATATATATTTTTTAAATTATGGGTATTTCTAGCATGAAAGCCCATTGTCTTTTAATGGGACAAAGGTATTTTAAAAATTTACGGTAGATCACAGGCACCTGGGTGGCACAGTCAGGTAAGCCTCCAACTCTTGGTTTTGGCTCAGGGTCTCGGGATCAAGCCCCGGGGTGGGCTCCATCCTCAGCACAGAGTCTCTCTTCCTCTGCTCCTCCCTCCAGCTCTCTCTCTCTCTCTCTGTCTCTCCAATAAATAAATCTTAACAACAACAACAAATTATGGTAGATCCACCTTCATTTTTAGAGGACAATATTTTTTTTTTTAAGATTTTATTTATTTGACAGACAGAGATCACACATAGGCAGAGGCAGGCAGAAAGAGAGAGGAGGAAGCAGGCTCCCCACTGAGCAGAGAGCCCGATGCGGGGCTCGATCCCAGGACCCTGGGATCATGACCTGAGCCAAAGGCAGAGGCTTTAACCCACTGAGCCACCCAGGCGCCCCCAACAGGCTTCTTAATGCCATCTTGGAAGTTGGGATTATGATACTTCTGCAGACCTCTTTTTCAGACAGGCTGAGCAGCCATCCATTATAGTGTGTACGTGTTCTCCCAGGATGGACTAACCTCCAATAAAACCATGACATGCCCTCCAAAACACAATTACATTTCGCTGAGGTTTTCAGGTGTGACATCTTTAAGAGAATTTCATATGCAAAAGTTTCACGAATCACGCACTCTGGCAAATTACTGGGACACTAGTCTCAGCTGGATCTCTTTGGGAAAACAAGCTGAATATTAACATGAGGGTTTTTGAAAGGCTCCCTATGGCACCTTTGCTGAAAAGATATTAAACCAAACAGCTGCTGATATGGAAACCGGCTGTTTGAACTGTAACTCGGTTAGATATGTTAATAGGGGAAGAGTATGATGTCTGACGAACGTGACGCAGGAAATGACTAAACAGATCATGCTTATTACTTTGCAGTATTCCTGAGGCTGGGGAGGTGGTAAGGGTGTTATCATGTGGCACTAAACAGTAACCCAGGGCAGCGACATTTGAAAGGGACCATTTCTTTGTCCTTTCTAGAGTTTCAGGCATTATAAATATTAACTCGTCCAAGATCCTGCTTCATAGCAATCACTGGCGGGACAAATGAAACATTTTGCAACATCTTTTAAAAAAACAATCCTATCAGTGCTGCAGAGCTAGTTTTATTATCCTGCTTTCTAAAAAAGCCGTGAGGTCTCAGTAGCTCTGGCAGAATTTCCGTAAAGGTGATGGAATCTGGCCCTTGAATGACGCAAAAAGATGCATGCATGGATTTTGCAAATTCATGCTTCCACATACATAAATGATGAATTGAACCCAGGTTTTTAACCGTTTGGATTTTTAAAATAAATACAGATACCTCAGTATGGAATTTCATTTAACAGTATCAAAAGTTGGGGCGCCTGGGTGGCTCAGTCATGTTCCCAGGGTCCTGGGAGAGAGCCCTGTGTTAGGCTCCCTGCTCAACGGGGAGACTTTTTCCTCCTTCTCCCTCTGCCACTCCCCCTGCTTGTTCTCTCTCTCTCTCTTTCTCAGATAAATAGGTAAAATCTTAAAACAAAAAACAAAAAACAAAAAACGAGAAGTTAAGCATATAAAAATGTACTAGGGCTCTGTGCACCATTGATCTTTCATAATATTAGAAAAATGGAAGAAAGTATATTCCCTTACAAATACTCTCATATTTTAGAAAGATTTTATGTATGTATTAGAGAGCACAAGCAGGGGTAGGGGAGTGGCGGGGAAGAGGGAGAAGCAGACTCTCCACTGAGTAGGGAGCCCAATTCAAGGTTCTATCCAAGGACCCTGAGATCGTTAAGATCATGACCCGAGCCAAAGGCAGATGTTTAACTGACTGAGCTGCCCAGGTGCCCCACAAATACTGTCATTTTTTAACCAGTAGAAGACTCATCAGTTATGCAAAAATGTCTGTAAATACAAAATAAGTAATTTCCAGCATAACCCAAGATCATTGATGATAAATGCAAGAAATATTTACTAAGCCAGGGTCAGGCAAACTTGGCCCCAGGGCCAATCCATCCCCCAGCCGACCTGGGAGCTAAGGGTGTTTTTTTATGTTTTTAAAGTTTTATGTTTTATGTTTTTATGTTTTATGTTTTTTATGTTTTTTATGTTTGTAATAAAGCAAAGAAGAATCATCAGTGACTGTTCATAGCTGGGAACGTCTGAAATATTTCCTAATTAATCTTTTGCAGAAGAAGTTTGCTCACCCTTGTAGTAAGCAGTTGCAAACTCTGTTTTGGACCTGCGTTTTCCATCTGAGACCGTGGGGAAAATGAATAAAGCCTTCCGTGCCTGTAAATAGTTTCTGCACTCCAGGGGCACAGGGCTAGTCAATAACTTAGACTGTGAAAGATGATGGCGTCAGATAAGGACTTAAAAGAAATAGGCCCCAGAGTTGGTGGGGAAGTAGGGAGTGGCCTGTTGGGGGGAGGCGGGTGATTCTTAAAATGAACCTTGAAGGTTCTTGGGGGATACAGGAAGGTAGAGTGAAGAGGGGATTGGAAAGACCAGAAGGCAGGGTGATTCACTCTCAGAAGTACTTAGGTGGCTGATGGTGGCCTACCAGACTGGAACGTGAGGTTGGGGTTGCGTGACAGAGGTCATGATCAAGAGCTTGTATGGAACCCAGAGATTCGTTCTCTTAGAGACTGAAAGGTGTCTGGTATTACTGTATTCTCGTGCTGTCACAGGGAAGTGTTTTATTATAATCGGTGAAAAGGGAGGGGGATAGGCCTTCTTGGGCCATGCATCTAGTAAATGAATAGCTTTTGGCTGTAGATCAATGATAGCACGAGTATACGCAGTTACGAAGTCACCATTAACAAATAAAGCTGGTAGAGTTTCAACGTACCCATCAGAATTCTTGAAAGCCTATTTTCCAAGCAGTTCAAACAGAGGTGAGGCAGCTCAGGTTGGCGGGGCTGCAGGGAACACCGAGTTCTGAGTTTGCCCCTGACTCAGTGCATGACCTTCGGCAAACCACTCAACTTCTCACTATCTCGGCTTCCTTGGCAATAAAATGGGGATAACAGACCTTAGCCACCTTACAAGAGTGTGACGAAGAGTAATAAATGTCTGCAAAAAGCTTTCAAGATTAAGTGCTCCCGAAAACTGGGGGTGGGGGCGGCAGGAGAAGTTCTCTTCCAAGAGTTTAGAGGAAAAATGAGATTTTCGAAATTAAAGTAGGACGCTGCGGCTTCTGAGAGCCAAGAGCTTTGTAAAAACAGGAAGGATTGTGGATGATACAGAACCTACAGATTGCTAAAGGTACCTGTAAACTACCAGTAGAATTCTGTGACTATATTCTCTCAATTCAAATCAGGAGACAAATTACTTTGGTTTAATGGTGGGAGAGAATACTGAAAATCAGACAACACCACCCAAGACAAGGTGGCCACATAGGGCTGCTCTATCTGTACCCCAAAGCTTAGAATGTTCTGCTTGGTTCTCCTGTGTATTGTTCAGTTACAAAGTTGCAGAGAGAAAAAAAAAATCCCTTTCTCCACTTCCTTTTCTCTTCAGACTTTCATGATCAGTCCTAGAGCGGGAGCGTAGAGGCAACGTCTACTGGGACAGAAGGGCTGCCTCATAGCTAACCAGCTGTCATTGGTCCTTAGAGGCTGAAAGAGATCCTGAAGTTTCTAAGGAAAGTTAAAGAAAGCCCTGGGATACACCTGAAAGAGATCCTGAAGTTTCTAAGGAAAGTTAAAGAAAGCCCTGGGATATACCTGGAGCAGACCACTGGGGATAGAAGACATGCTCCGCACTGCTCTGGACATTTGGAGTGGTGAAGTATCCCTTCAGATGCTTGCTTTCCCTTACCCCCACCCCTTTTTTTCTTCTCCCTCCCCTCCTTCCTTTTTCTTGTTCTTTCTCTCTCTCTTCCTTTCTTTCTTAAAGAAATCTTTACTTTATAGTTGGCTAAACTGGAGACACAAGACAAAATAGTTCAATTTGCAATTTGCTATCTTGTTGGGAGGACACTAGCTCAAAACCACAGAGCCCTGAGTTTGACCCTAGCACTCTGTGGCTACTGATGACTCATCCTGATAATTATCAGATTGAATCTTCTCTACTGGTTTGGTAATAACAATGAGTGGAAAAAGAACTTCAATCAGATGTTCATGCCTAATAATTGGTCTCCTGATTGCCTTTGTAGACTCATGGTTCTCTTCTTTTTCCTGGTATGTATAAGACAATATGCTCTTGATGCAACCCTCGGATGTTGCTTGGTCAAAAAACATAGATAATGCTGTTTTCGGGTCCTTGGAGAATGCTGCCGGAGTAGAGGTGGGAGCCACTAGACACAAGCACCAGTCAGAGGTGGCTGGAATGGGAGATGCCCTCTGATGAAATCTTGATTTTATGGGGCCTTTCTTTATAACAGGGTTGCTAAATAGGAAAGTTAAGCTGCAACTTAACTGCCAAGATTCTGCCTTGGATTTTGGAGCTCTGGGTCCACGGATGTTCCTTTCTATCCCATTCATTTGTAACTTTCATTTCTTTTTTCTCAAAGTAAAGAAAACGGACCTCCGTGACTCAATGGCATGCCAAGGCCATCTGAACCTTCCCAGTGTTCCAAAGGAAGTTACTGATTTGAATTCAGATGCTTAAACAATTAGTCTCTAAGACGGCAGTTTGCAGCTTCCTTAAAGTACTTGTGTGGGTTTGGAGAGGAAATTAGCTTGTTGATTAATTTTTTAAATTTTTCAATTCCTGGTTATTCGTCTGCTTGTGTGTGTGTGGTCTTTTGAGCTTGGTACTCTGCTGAATGAATCTCTATGTCAAAGTAAAATGGGAAGAAGACCAAATTTCTGTTCAGTGGAACTATGCATTTTCTGACATGGAATCACTTGCATATCCTTAGTAAAAATCATATATGGATGGCCCACAATAACACTCAATGATGTATATAAGTTATATGCACATAATATATAAAATATACACTTTTATTCTTATATATTTAAAAATATATTTATTTATATACTTATATATAAATATATATATGATAAATATAAAGGTATATACATGCACCCAAAAATTATATTATTCACAGCAACACTAGTCACAATAGTAAAAAATTAGAGACTACTCACATGTCCATCAACTGTAGAGTGAAAAAATAAACTGTGGTTTGCTTATATGATGGCACGTTGCATAGCCATGGGAAAGAATGAGCTCCTGCTACACACAACATAGATGAATTTCACAAACAAAATGCTGACCAAAAGAAGTCAGACACAAAAGGACACATACCTATGAATCCATTTATCTGAAGTCTGTAAACAGTCAAAATTAGTCTGTGGAGATGTATTCTGATAGAAATCTGAAAAGTGGGTTTCTTTGGGGTGGGGGATAGAGTTCCTAAAGTGAGCTCCTAGAGTTTGGTGGTGGTTACACAAGCATGGAGCTGTATCATAATGATTTGTAAACTTTTCTGTATGTATGGTCTATTTTAATGAAGGTTTATCTTGAAACATGCATAGTCATTATTATCAGTTTGAGTGTAGTGTTATTTCACTTTTCACCAGAATGAAAGAGATCAGTATTGTGCGAATGCTCTTAAGCTGCAAATGACAGGAGACCCAACTCAAAGGTGGTTTAAACCAGGGGGTGGCAAACTTTTCCTACAGAGGAAAAATAGTAAATACCGTAGGTTTTGGGGGTCGTGGGACTTCTTGTGAGTACTCAGCCTTGTGTTGTAGCAGGAAAGCAGCCACAGAAAATATGTAAACAGAGGGGCAGGGCTGTGTTCTAATAAAACTCAAGAGAACTTGGGGATAGTCTTAGAATTCTGCCATCCACCAACCCTAACCTGTAACATCAAATCAGGTCATAGCACAGTAGAAAATGGCACATTCAGAAGAAATGGGCTTATTTGGCATTCTCCTTGCTTGGAGGATTTATGCTTAAAATCCAACTCCATAAAGACAATGATAACATGGAAGTCTTGGAAAACGTTTAGCTATTTGCTATAGCAAGATGGTCAAAGTACCAGATAAAATACTGAAATATTTACATAAAAACAATCAAAGTGGTGAGGGTTTTTATTCATTTTAAATGTTATTTATTTATTTCTAGACTAAATAATACACTAACAACATTCACATCTCCGAAAATAAAGGAATGGAAAGAGAAAATCTCTTTCCAAGTTGTTTCTTTTCTGGAGACAACTGATGACTGTAGTTTCTGGTTTACCTTTTACTTTGCAATAGGTCATGGAAATCATCACATCAGTATATAAAGAGTTGCCTCATCCTTTTTGACAGCTGCATAATGTTCCATTATAGAGCTGTAGCCCCAATTCACAGATTTCCTATTGGTAAGCATTTAGATTATTCCTAATCTTTTGCTATTACAGAAAATTATGTATTAAATAACTTAGTACCCACATTATTTCACACATGCTCAAGCACACAAACAGGATATATCTCTGAAAGTGGAATTGCTGCATTAAAATATAGGTCCATTTATGATTTTGATATATTTCTCTCAAATTGCCCATGATGGTATTGCACTGATTTAAACTTTCAGCAGGCAAATTGGACTGCCCATTTACCATGCTTGTTTCAACAATGAATTTAATTTCGTCTTACCCAATCTGACAGGTGAAAATGATATCTTATTATGAGATATCATTATATGATATCATATTATGAGATAACAGAACTTCATTCTGTTTATTTCTTTTTCTACAAACTATCTCTTTTTTATTGAAATACTGATCTTTTTCTTATTAATTTATAGGAATCCTTTATCTGTTATATGAATTACAATTTTTTCTAAAGTTTGTTTTTTGTCTTTCAACTTTGCCAATGTTTTGTTGTTGTTCTGCCATACAGAAGTATTTGATTTTATGTATATATCCAATTTTTTATGGACTCTGGCTTTTATTCTATACTTCAAAGGACCTACCCTAGTCTGAGATTTTATTAATTAATTAATTAATTTATTTATTTATTTTTAAAGATTTTATTTATTTATTTGACAGAGATCACAAGTAGGGGGAGAGGCAGGCAGAGAGAGAGGAGGAAGCAGACTCCCCACTGAGCTGAGAGCCCGATGCAGGGCTCAATCCCAGGACCGTGGGATCACGACCTGAGCCAAAGGCAGAGGCTTTAACCCACTGAGCCACCCAGGCACCCCCTGAGATTATATTTAAAAATTACCTGACAATTTTTTCTGGCATGCTCAGAATTTTCTTTCCCTTTCTTATTTCTAAAAATGTAATCCATCTGAATTTATGGCAAAAGGTGAAAGGTTTGAATCCAACTGTAATGTTTTCTCCCCAGAGAGCTGTTCAGTTGCTTGAACAGCATTTATTGAATGGGCATCTCTCTCCACTGATAAGAAATATCATTTTATCTTATACTAAGTTTCTTTTTGTATTTGAGTCAATTTCTGTTCCATTGTTCTATCTATTAATGTAGCATACCTTTTTTTAATGATTGTAGCTTTACATTTTAGTATCTAATGCAGTTAGGTTAACCGTTGTTTTTCTTTTTCTTTTTTTTTAAAGATTTTATTTATTTATATGACAGAGAGAGAACTCACACAAGCAGGGGGAGCAGCAGGCAGAGAGAGAGGGAGAAACAGGCTCCCCACTGAGCAGGGAACTGGACAGGGGACTCTATCCCAGGATTCTGGGATCATGACCTGAGCAGAAGGCAGATGCTTAACTCACTGAGCCACCCAGACTCCCCAGTCCTTGTTTTTCTTTTTTAGGATTTTCCTGCATATTTTGGCATGTTTATTTTTCCATATTAATGTTATAATCAGTACATATCATTTAAAAAAAACTTATTTTCAAGTGATATGTATTTTTTTACATTTAGAGATAATTTGGGGAGCATTGACCTCTTTATAAAGTCTCTTTTATCTAAAAACATAAATACCCTTCTATTTGTTCAAGTCTTCTTTTTGACCCTCAGTAGCTTTAAAAATCTTCTTCATGTAGTTCTTCATTTCTCAAGTTTATTCCCAGGAATTAAATCTTTTTTGTTGCTAATACAAATGAGGCCCTTTCTTCCATTTTATTTTCTAACTCATTGTTGTTTCAAGGACATTTAAAAACCAAGGGAGAAAAAAAAATTATTTTTAGCTAAATAAATGGAATTTTCTAAACTATAATAAGTAACCATAGCAGTTGTAATTTAATTCTGTTCAGAATAGTTGCAAAAGGAAAAAAAAATCCCAAATTCATACAAGTAGAAAGATATTAGGAATAAATTAAAATATCTTTTTAAAGTTGTTTTTTTGATTCACATTTTAATCTTAAAATAGAATCCATATAATTTTCTCGTTCTCACACATCACTCACTGTTCATCTTTTGCCTGGTAGGGTACACATGTTGTTTTTGCCCAGGGCTTCTCAGGGTGCTCGGCTAATTGCTTACCTCTCCCCAGGGGAAGGCTGGCAGCTCAGCTATTCTCTTCTTTCTCACCTAGATCTTATGGGACAAATGCTGCTAGGAACTAGAGCTTACAGCTCCTGTGGAGGGGATGGCTGATGCCTCCTGGGCTCCCTCCCCTCCCGGCACCCACCTGCCAGTTCCCTTCGACAATAGCCTGGGAAAGCAGTATGTATCCAGGAAATCCCAGCTCTACCGAGAAGAGAAGTGAGAACATTTCCGAGGTCAGCAGGAAAGAAGAAAGAGGGAATTTCTTACAGATCACTTCCAGATTTGCAACCTGGGAGGATACAGGATGGAGGACTAAGTTGTCTGGGAGGGGAGGCTGGAGCTGGGAAGACACAGGACTGTGTAGCCTTGGGGGAGAGTTTTCCTTTAGTGAGTGGCCACATTAGAGTCTTGGTTCTCATCCTTAGAACTGAGTTCGTTGACTGTCTGACTTTGGAATAACCATTAACTGGGCTAGGAGAAGAAAGAGTGGGTGACTTCCTGCCTCTCCTTTGATGCGGGGAAGGGACTGGAGGCCATAGTCTTCTCTTCCTGACAACCAAACAGCCTTTTTACAGGCAAAATCTTTACTGATCACATTGCTTAGGGCTAACTGGTGGCCTCTATTATTTATTGGAAGGCAGTCAAAAGGCCTTTTGCATAATAACACTAATAAGGAGCAGAAAGGCTACTGTATTTGGAGTACCATGCGCTGCCTCTGCCCTTTACATGGGTTCCCTTATTTTAATCCTCATGATGACCCTATAAGTCAAATATTACTGTATTTATTACTCTAATTCGCAGATGGGAAAAGTTAGGTTGAGGGAAATCACATAACATTGCAAGACACTTAATGGACTGAGCCACCCAGGTGCCCTAATGAGTACGCTTTTTATCATCACACTTAGGTCTTATGAAAATGAATGGTAAATCTAAATATTTTGAAATAAGGATGAGCAAAGAGAGTAAAGTATTTCTTTTCTTTTCTTTTTTAAATATTTTATTTATTTTTTTTGACAGAGAGAGCACAAGCAGGGGGAGCAGCAGGCAGAGGGAGAAGCAGACTCCCTGCTGAGAAGGGAGACTGATGTGGGGCTCCATCCCAGGACCCCAGGGTCATGAACTGAGCTGAAGGCAAACATTTAACCAGCTGAGCCACCCAGGTGCCCCAGGTTTTTCTATATATTAAATATTTCTTCCTGTAATTTTACTTGTTAATATATTCCTCCTAAAAATGTGAGCTTTACTTAATCCTGACTGCGCCCATGTCTTTGAGGGATGTTGTAAAGCCCATTCACAAGCATATAATATTTTTTGCAGATATATTCACGCAGACATTGAAGTATAAGTAACAGCTCAGCCAGCATGTTTATTATACAGTATTCCAAAGTCTATTCTACTTGTGACTATAATTCTGTACTCATGGTTTGTAACATTCTTCCAGAGATGTCAGATGTGTGTATATGCCTGTGTGTGTGAGAGTGTGTGTGTGTTTATGAATAATATGATTTCCTTGTGGGTGTGAATTTCATCCTCTCTGTGATTCCTGTGCCCTAACCATATTGCTAGGCAACACAAAGCAACACACATCCCACATTCTCCTAATTCCGTTTAATGTTTCATCAGTGGACCTTTGATTTTATATGCAAGCAGAATCATACCAGCGGGTTTAGGATTTTGGATTTTTAAATAATCAAGTGTCCACTCGGGTCAAACCAAATGACCATAACCATGAGAAACTGGCAGATAAGAGGAAGAGCTGGCATAAGGCAAATACACATATTTGTTTTGTAAGACTTTGGTGATAGTTCATTAGTAAAATTGGATGTGGTTCTTACAGGTGACAGCAAGGAGAGAGAGGCTTCCTTCCAAAGAACTCCTAGGACTGGAAGGGGAATTGTATATGGAATACTCTTTCTGATATTAGTGATGTTGGACACACATAAATTTGCCAGAGGAAAATCAGGTGCAAATCTTCTCTGTCAACACAGAGACCAATAGTTTCACGTCAGGCTCTAGTTTAGTAGAGTACAATGAATGTATTCATGATAATTCCTCATCATAAGTTAAAGTCATTTATAGTCCTCCTGCTCTCTGTTCCCAGGGAAAGGTCAGAGGGAGGCTTCAGTAGGCATGAAGCCTACTGGAATTTGGCCTACAGTGGACAAACACACAGATCTTCGTCGCTACAAAAAATATCCCTTGATGTTGCCCCATCCATTCAAGCCAAACCTCAGAGAGCCCCAGGAAGGAGAACTCATAGATGTTTACAGTGCTGGTCAGCATTGTTTAAAAGGTAGGATGGCACAGGTCAGAAAGTCCTATGATGGCGCTCTGAACTAATACTCAACCTGTAAAAGCAAACGTCATATTATAATTCCTTAGTTGCAGGCTTAGAAAAAAGAACAACCAAAATTTTTGCCAGTTGGAAGATGAAAATGACATGGAAAGGACGCCACTGGTAAGAACAACACATATGGAAAAGTATGGTTATATTCGTTACTGAAGGCTATGTAGCAGTTTCCCCCCAAACTTTGTAGTTTATTTTTTTAGTTTTTTAAAAAGATTTTATTTATTTTTCTGACAGAGAGAGAGCCAGAGGGCACAAGCTGGGGAGGGAGGGACAGCAGAAGGAGAGGGAGAAGGAGACTCCCCACTGAGCAGGGAGCCTGATGACTTGGTGCTCAATGACCCCGAGATCGTGACCTGAGCCAGGCAGATGGTTAACCAACTGAGCCACCCAGGCGCCCCCAAACTTAGTAGTTTAAAACAGTAAGAAACATTTATTATTTCACACAGTTTCAGGGCATCTGGAGCCAAAGAGTGCCTCAGCTTATTGGTTCTATCTCATGATCTCTTATGAATCCACAGTTAAGATGACAGCCAATGCTGCAGTCATTTGAAGGTTTGGGGCTGGAAAATCCACTTTCAAGATGGTTTATTCACATAACTGGCAAGTCAGTGCTGGCTGTTGGCCAAAGGATTTACTTGCTCACCATATGGCTTCCTACATGTCCTCACAACACAGTATCTAGCTTCTCCAGAGTGGACAATCCAAGAGAGAGCCAGACAGAAGCCACAGCGTCTTTTACAGCTCAGCGCTGGAAGTCATGGCCATACCTTTCTGCAGTGTCTGTTGGTTACACAGGTCATCCCCATTCCGTGCCACAGGTGGAAACACTGGGAAGTGGGAATTTGGGGGGCTATCTTGGAGGGTGGCCACCGCAATGATAGAGACATTTCTGTGCATACAGGATGGAGAAGAGATTCATGTGTTGGCTGAGTGATTGATTTTTTTAAAAAAGATTTTATTTATTGTCAGAGAGAGAGAGAGCATAAGCAAGCAGAGTGGCAGGCAAAGGCAGAGAGAGAAGCACGCTCCCCGCTGAGCAAGGAGCCCTATTTCGGGACTCAGTCCCAGGACCCTGGGATTGTAACCTGAGCTGAACGCAGTGGCTTAACTGACTGAGCCACCCAGTTGTCCCTGGCTGAGTGATTGATTGCACTGGACCAGTGGTCTCAATGCTAGCTGCGAACAGTTGCCTGTGTCAGAATAACCTGAAGGCACTTCAAATAATATTGGTTTCCATGGCCTCTTCCCCAAATAGTCTGATTAAATCAGGGATGATGCCCAGATTTGAGAATTACTGGATTAGGTGATGTCCCAGGTCAAGCCCAACCTTAACCTTGTTCCCCAAACGTTCCAGATGATAGGTGTTACCCAGGGAGTTTGTTTAAAATACAGATTTCCAGGCCCTACCTCAGCTTCGTGAATCAGAACCCCAAGTGAAGGCCCTAAAAATCTGTATTTCTGCTTAATTTTTAAGAAAGTTTGGACCAAGTCATTCAACATGACTGGAAATTCTAAAAGGTATCAAAGAATGTTGTTAGAAAGTGTCTTTCTCAACTTTGTCCTCCCCAAATCCCAGTTCACCTTCCTAGAGAGGGTGATCAGTATTAACTTTGTATGTATGTATTCTTCCAACAATAAATGCACACATATAAATGTGCAGATATATATACATTTTTATTTTAAAGATTATAATTTATTTATCTGTTTATTTGACAGAGAGAGAGAGAAAGAGAGTGCTCGAGCACAAGCAGGGGAAAACAGCGGGCAGAGGGAGAAGCAGGCTCCCCGCTGAGCAGAGAGCCCGATGGATGCCAGACTCCATCCTAGGACCCTGGGATCATGACCTGAGCTGAAGGCAGACGCTCCACCGACTGAGCCACCCAGGCACCCCTAAATGTGTATATTTTTGAAATTTCTTCTTCTCTTTTTAAAAACAAATTAAAAATCAAAAGCATATATGGTCAAAAGCCAGTTTGTTCCTGATCCTAATCACTAGCTCTCCTCTTCAGACTCGAACCCTTTTTCCAGTTTCTTGTGGTTCCAGAGCCAGGACTATGTCATTTTAATAGGCGACTAAGGCATTCTTACAGCCTGGTGTGTTTAGGACACTGTAAGTCATTTTTAACATTTTTATAATATATAATAATATAAACTATTATAATAAGTTGACATAGCTAGAAAACTTCACTTGGCTCCTTCTTGGTTGTATAACACTCATTTAGTTGAACTCTACCTTGGATATTACATTTAGATTCTTTCATTTAGCCATTACTTACAAGGGCCTGTGATGTGCCTGGCCTGGCCTGGTCAGTGGTGAACAGAGAACCCAGCACACAGAAGCCCACAATAGAGGAAACAGCTAGTCTCAGTGCAAGTGCTATGAGAAAGGGGGGGAAAGGCACCCCAGCAGCACATTGGCACTGGAGGTGGGTGAGGCTCCTGGAAGGAAGGGGTTTCCACAATGGGGCAAAAGGGATGATGAGGCAAGTGCTAACTGGGCAAATGGAGAAGCAAAGTATTCCTGGCAAAGAGAAAGCAAAAACGCAAAGGTCCACGTTTTGATCTGGCACATGGCTCTCAGGCAACCTCAAAGTAAAGCATCTTGGTGTTGTGTGCAGGAGAGGCTGGAAATGAAACAAGGGAGGTAAACTGGGGTCAAAATAAGAGGGGAGGACATATAATGGCCCTGAAGTTCAGGAATTAAATTTGGGAATGATATAATCAGTGTAAAAAGTCGATGTTGGGGGCACCTGGCTGGCTCAGTCGTTGAGCATTATGACTCTTGATCTCAGGGTCGTGAGTTCAAGCCCCACACTGGGCAAAGAGTTTATTTAAAAAAAAAAAAAGATATTAAAACATTAATTTTGATGCAAAAAAAAATGGATTGGAAAAGATAAGAGTTGAGTTAGGGAGATAGTTTAGGAGGTTGTTGTCAGAGGACATAGGCGCAGCTTGAATTAGAGAGCCCTTGTAGGGTTGGAAAAAACGAGAAACCTTTTGAAGTTATTTGAGAGGTAGATTCATCAGGACTTGGTGATTGATTGACAGGGGATGGAAGTGGGTCACTCCCAAATCTGTAGCACAGGCAATTAGGTGTTCTGCACTTCAGTAGGGAACACAGATGGGAAAGCTCTTTGGGAGAAGGCATTTGGGAGAGTGAAGGATGAGTTTGACATTTTGAGTTTGAGGAAGAGAGAGCGAGGAACTAAATGAAAATCTAGCATCAGACTGAGAAATAAGAGACGGTTGGTGGGGGTCCGTGGCAGGACAGCCATCTCCTAATTTGTCTTGAAGCCTTGCCCCTCCACCTCTACCATTGCTTTGTCCTGCCCCCGACCCTCTCCCATCCCTTCTAGAGCAGGCTGGTTCCACCTTTTTCCACGCCTCGGGGTGGAAGGGGCTAACGGATGGTTCTGCGTCAAAGCTGCTGCGTGCACAGAATTCGGTAGCCGGCCAACAGTATGCTAGGTTCGGTAAAAAAGATAATACCCTTCCGTTGATTATACATGGTTACCTGACGTTTCCATGTTTCCCAGCATAGTGCCCAAAGTGGACTCAACATCTGTTTTCAGTTCTTAGTTCATTCTGGGTACCGAGGCTCTGTATTGCACGGGCAACCGGTGGCAGTGTGGATATACTTGAGACAAGGTAAGCCTGCAGCCATAGTTTTCTTTGCCTTCTGGAGCTCTTAATTCTTTTTGCTGGAATTAATAGAGCTTCGGCTAATTAGATGTTTGAAAACGCTCACCTTTGTTTGGTGCTCTGAATAACCAGCCAGAGGCATTTTAGATTGTGAGGGTGACTGAGAAAATAAGATCTTTGCTATTGTGCAGAGAAATCTGAAGAATTTTCTCCATTCTTCAGTTCTTGCTAAATGGCTCCTTGTATGCTATCTGTATGGTATGGGTCTAGGACAGATTTCTCTCTGAACTTCACAGCATGGGTGGAAGAGAGTAATTTGGCCTTTCCTTTTTCCTGGCAGTCCGTGCCAGTCCATTTATATGGTATGTTCACAGGAGAGTTGACAAGTGTTGAGAGGTTTTATTTGATATGCATTTTTTTTTTAAGTAGGAAAAAAATCCATAAAAATAGGTACTTTTAAGCTAGTTTTCCTAGTTAGTCTTAAGGTCATAACCCATTCTGTTTCACTAAAAAGTTCCACCTCAAACCGACTAACTACCTATGCTAAGTTCTCTGGGCTATGTTTAATATATATGATGAAACCATGTACTACAGGGACAGTTTTTAATGATACAAATGCAAAAACCACATTATTTTTCTGTGTAACTTGTAAAAGCCATTCCTTCTAAAATGGGGCTGCTTATGCTAATTTGTTATAGTTAGTGAGTTGCAGGCAGCTCTGTGAATTTACTTTTCTTGGCAGTTCTAGAATATCCTGCCATAACACATACTGAAAAACTGTTTGATGGATTATGAAAATCTGGATGTACTAAAGGTACATCTTGTGCAAACCATAAGATAAATACATGATTACATCTTTAAAAATCTGTTATCTCATCAGGTTAAGGAAATTGTCATTATAACAACCCAAAGAAAATTAAACTCTTTTGAATAGAAGACCTATTTGTACGTTCTGTAAATATTTTTAATATCTGGTGCTGGCTCAATTTTGCTGGTCTTTCTGAAAATACTGCCTGCTGGAGATAAACTGTATTCCATCTAGAACCCATCTTACAGATGGGTAGGACTTCATTGCTCTAGTTGATATTCTTAGTAAAGTGTACATTGTTGGGATTACTGGTGCAAAATATATTTTGAAATGTTATCATTACATTGAATGAGGTGAGCCCTTTTCTATTACTCAAGGATGTTGAATTACTGGGCCTGTCTATATTATATTTGCACTGATATATGATTTGTTCATTAATAATAAATGAACAAAATATATAATTTTGTTTGATATGTGTGTTAGCTACACATAACCAGCGCCTTTGAAATAGTCTCTAACCTCTAGCACCTTGCATTTCTAACAGATGAAAAGGCATTGGGGGAAAAAAAAGCAATTCATTTGTTCATTTATTTAAAAAATTATACACACTCACACACACACACATACTGAGAAGCTATTATGTAAAAGGCACTCTGTTACACTTTCTTGGGGCCTAGGGAATACACTTTGATGAACAGGAGAGATTTGGTTTATATCTTTGTCTTCTATCAGGGAGACAAACAGGAAATGACAAATTTTAAAATTAATTATTTTGTAATTATGGGAAGTGTTTCAAAAGATACCAATAGGGTGGGATGAGGGCAGAGAACTGGAACTGGATGGAGAAGCAAGCTTGTTTTAAGGGAGTTTTTAAAGTTTAAGTTGCATTTGGAATGAACTGGAATAAAATCTTAACCGTGTCAATTAAAAAAAAAAGAGAGAGCGAAGAGTTCTTGTATTTAAAGGTAAAGAAGCCAACAGATCTGTAAGAGAAATATGGTGTAGTGTGGTAAGAATCTTATACAGACAGGAAAACATCCTTGCATGTGCTAAAAACATCTTACCACTTGAAGGAATGATTTTTAACCTTAGGCTAAAAGTAAGATACTATATTCCACTTTAGAAGAAGAAAAATGGCTAAGAAATGCAGATGGCCAATTAACTTTTTCAGTTAAACTTCATGCACGTGATAAAATATGTAAAACTTAACATAAAAAACTTCAACATGTTTATATGCTTATAAATGCTTCAAATTGATTAAAATTCTTCAGTTACAAGGTTAGGCTCCTGGATTGTCGAATGTTCTCATATATTTCAAAACAAAATGGAATTTTATCGGAAGCTGAAGCATAAGGACAGAGT